AGCATGGTGCCAGATTTTAAAAAAGCTTTAGGGCCCAGAAGATGGGGACAGATGCTCAGTGGGATTTTCACAAACACCTGGGCACCACAAAAGTTGGCACCTAGGTGCTTGTGAAAATCCCATTGGGTGTCTCTCTGTGGTTGCCTAAACGCCTTTTCCAAATCTGGCATTAGGCTACTAAGCAGTGTTTTGCCAAAAACATGCTTCCCCCTTGTAATAGAGCTTCTGTTTTGGGAAATATTCTCCTGCAGCTGGAGCTCTTGCGATAGCCAACAGACTGATAGTGAGTGAGGCTTCTCAGTAGCATCAGCAGTGTGTGGGAGAGATACAGCAAGGCAGAGGATCTGCCTTCAAACTCTGGTCTATAGTCTGAGATGGGTAACAATAGTCTGATGTGTCCACTGTGGCCTCCTGCCACTGGACCAGATCAGCGACTAAAATACAGCAATAAGAGATTATTTCCCAATAATTTCACAGTGACTATCCAGCTGAAAAGAATTGCCTAAGATGGACTTCCTTTCATTTTCCTTCATGATGGGGGAGGGCGCATGCGCGGCCCTGGCCCTGCCCGGCGCGTAGGAGAGGGCATGCAGAATTGGTGGCGGCAGAACACACGTGCCCAGCTCAGCCCAGCCTGGCTACCCCGCTGCAGGGCGGCTGCTGGGAGCTGTTGCATCCTGCGATCCGGGAGCCGGGCATGTGGTACCTGATAGCAGCTATAAAGGGCGCTGTGTGCCCCTTTCAGCTACCATCAGGTGCCCCCCAAAGGTTGGCGCCCCAGGCAGGTGCCCGTCTAGCCCATGCCTTAATCTGGCCCTGCTTAGCAGACTTCTTCACAGTTTAACGCTGGTGAACAGAAAATAACTCTTCTTTTGGTTTTTTTAGGCCATCCAGGAACAGGTTTTTTTATAAGGATGATTTAAATAACACATAGAAAAATTTTGTTTTCTTAATTCTATAGTTTTTAGAGTAATTTAATCTACAGAGCCTTATTTGTTTAATCCCAATGGAATTGTGTAGACCTTTTCCTACAGAGGCATAAAGCTGTAAATCATCCTGTGTGTAAAAGTTGAAGTGCATTAACAAAGCTGCACGGTGGAAGTTTGCATAATTCCTGATTCTGCTAGTCCTATCTGCTTTCACTTTCTGGAACTCAGAACTTCACAATGAAAAGAAACTAGGCAGTAATGTAAGTAAAAAGAAATTACTAACATTTTGTTTTTACTTTGTTTAAAAATTCCTTAAGTTGGTTTCAGGGTTATTGCCTCTAAATTCCTCTCACTGGTCAGCATTTTAATAAACACTCAACCACTAATAAACACTGAAGATTTATTTACGGCTTATCTTGTAGCTGAACATCTGTTTCTCCATCACTATGAGGTTCTCTAGCGATGATTTAATGCAATTCCCTACTCTAGGGTTAAATAAAGTTGAGAGGTTCTGACCATCGGCTTTATGCCATGAAGACCCGTTCTACAAAAACAATTCAGCAGTGGAAATGTCTGAATCTGAATTCGGAAATAAACCAAGTGGAAGGGTAAAAATTAAAGCAAGCCAACATAGGCTTCAATTTCATCTTCAAATCTTTTAGTTTGAAAGAAAAGAGCTTTAATGTAAAAAAAAATTGCTAGAACAGACCAATTCTACTGGATCTAAAGAATTTGTATTGTGATGTGTATTTTTCAACTTCTTCCATACATCAAGTATAGTCTTACTGTTCTCTTCCTTGACTGGACTTCAAGGCAAAACCCTGAGTTTTGAGGGATGTAGGGTGTTCATTTTTTTATGTATTTAATAAAGGTTTGTAGTGTCCCATGTTTGGCAACAGGGCAAATCATAATTGTAGTAGGTGAGTGTGGGAGGGGACAGTAACCAAACCCACAGCCAATGATCACAGGAATTCATTGGCTGACCCTTTGATATTGGACTACTGAAGACAAAACAGTGTGACGGGATACTGCCTGTTCCAAATGAGCTGTGACACAGGATATTCCGGGGCAATCCGGACTTTAGGAACCCGTGTTTAGTACCAGACTTAGGTTTCATTACATAGGTTGAATAGCCCCTTTAAACATAAAGATTTATATACCACAGGCCTAAAACTGCATTCTTGCATCACAATCAGAGGAGTTTGAAGTCAAGGACATAGTAAATGTTTACGTCATTCCTCTGATTTCTAAAACAAGACAGCTGCAGAACTTGAGAAGAGGCGAGTAAGGGACAATCATACTTTTTGCATCTGATTTTTCCAAGTCTGTTCTAATTTTGCACCTAAAATAACTTTTGGCTCCCATGCATTTGATTGTGCTAAGCACTAAATGCACTCGCAATTATCTGCACTGCAAAGTTGTGCCTGTAATCATTTCTGGGAGCAAAATTCGATGCAAAGATGAGGGCTTTTAAGCCTTAAGGTTCTGCTAAGAAATGTTAAATAGAATTAAGCTGGTAAAAATCCTTATCACTCCTCCCCTTGTTTCCCTCTTCCATTCCCTCCTGCCTCTCTTACTTCAGTGTTGTAACGGAGCAGCATTATTTTGTAACAAGTAAAATCACTAGTTTCATATCCTGGTTAGATGTTATATCTACTCTTCATGCAGAAACATGGGAATGGGATATGAAAAAGTGACCTTATTAGGCCATCTGGTCCCTCCTGCAGGATTGTTCTTAGTGTTTTATCCACAAGTCTAGTTTAAAACATCCCAAGTAAGCAGGCAATTGGCTCCCAGGGTTAGATGGAAGTTCTGAACCAATTTGGGGTCATAACTCTCCGGAATTTGTGCAACGCTGTTTCATATAACATTGATCCAAATACTGGCAAGGGAAAGAATTAATGCTTCCATTTGACAGCAAATGCAATTTTGATGTAGCCTGCATTCCATTACCGGCCAGTTAAAAAGCTCATTCAAGAAGACTGGGGCAATATAACATCCTATTTGACCAATGAAACTTGATGATCTTTCTCCCTTCTCCATATGCCAAAGAGAATTTGATCTGCTTTGACTTGTTTTGTAGCGAGTTCAGTGAATACAGAAGGATGAAGATGAGAGAGGATGCAGGAACCTTTTAACATCCAAAAGCATTTGAAGATCACTGGGCCTTTCCTGTTCTTGAGAAAACAGTAACAGAGAGGACACCTGAAAAAACAACCTCCTCCTCTCCTTATATCTTTGGTGAAAGTCACAAATCAACCCCCCTCTTTTGCTTCTTTGCATTCCTCCCATTTATCAAGTCAGTTTTTTGTTTTCATTCCTCTGCACCAGGCCAAGTCTCTGTGAGAGTCAGGAAGTGCTGTAATCAGAGGAATGTTTCTAACTTTAGTTCTTTTGACTGCAGTGACAATTGCCATGTGATTTTATTTAAATAAACATCTCCTTTTACTGGAGTGTGAATTAGCCTCTGTGCCAGGCGCTACACTCTATAAAGGGACAAGTCTGGGAGACTTGTTACCAAATGGTACAACTGGGGATTAGGCAAGAGACTACTTCTGAATTAAAGTTCTTAGCCTATGTTACATCTGAGCTGATAGTGCTACCAAAATTGTACACACACATGGGGCTCCAAGCTCTCTGGATCAATGGACTGAGAGTTTTTGATGGAGATGATGCTTTTAGTCTTAGGTGGATTGCAAGACCCCATTATTCTGCCTTCTGTTGCCTTCTGTGTGTTGCTTGAGACGGCATTTCAGGGTTTCAGCTGGACACCTGCAGGCTTCAGGAAGATTTTTTGTTTTCTCTGATGTATAACTGGCGTTAGGAATTATGGGTGGTTGTTTTCTTTTTTTCCCCCCTCTGAAGCATCAGGGCTTGGTTGCACTTAATACAGGACATCTGACAAGGTGGACCAGTACACGTGGTGGTACAGTGACTACTGAATTTGTGCTTAGGAAGGATTTCACCCTTCCAGGTCAGTGTTAAAACTGCTGCCAGCAAAATGGGAGTTCGGACACTGCTTTTGATAGGAGCAGAGTTAACTCAGAACAATTCTGAAAATACGACCTGACTAAAAATAAGTTAACTGACATGACTAATCCATCTCCATCTGTAAACTGCTCCTAGGCTACATCTACACTGCAGTGCTCTCTCTGGATACCGGAGTATCCCGAAATAGCTATCCCGCATCTTCACAGCAAGCCCGTTATTTTGGGATCGCTATTCTGACATCCCTGTAAACCTCATTGTACGAGGAGTAAGGGACATTTCAGAATAGCATTTTATTTTGAAATTTGGCGCTGAGTAGACAGCGCCACATGATGAAATAAGCTATTTCAAAATTAACATGAAATAAGCTATACAATTTGCAAGTAACTTGTAATAAGCTACCTTACTTTGGATTGCGGTGCACCTCTAGCATTTTACTTGTTGATTTCATCCATTTGTTTTTAAAGACTGTATTTTAAAGGTGGGTATTGAGTGTGTACATATGCCCTGCCCCTGCTTCTGTTAACTTTGAGTTCAGAAACTTTTGAATGAAAGAGGGAGGAGACAAAAGAAGGGGAATTACTAAATCCTGAATATTGCAAAGGCTGGGGGGGAGGGAGTAAAAGGGAACCCTCCCTCAAAAGATACTGGAAGCTGTTGAAGGAATCAGATAATTTCTGCTTGTGAGTATAGGCCAGGTGGGGATTGGGGGGGGGGGGCATCTGCTGGGCTGGGGGGCTCATGGGTGGGTAGGGAGGAAAGGGGGCAGTTGCAGTGGGGCTCTGCAGCAGTGGTGGTGTCCAGAGTTGCTTGCTCCATGCGGCTCTGAGGACCGGGGGGGGGGGTGGGCTGCCCCACCCTCATGCCTTACACCTGAAGCCCTACCCCTTCCGGGAGAATGGAGCTACCACCCCCCGCCTTGTCCAGGGGCCCGCGGAGGCTGTTGGCTCCCCTCTGCTTTGACATCCTTCCTGGGTCCTGCTGTGCTTTGGTCCCTGTACCTTGCTCTTCTGGAGTGTCCTCAAGCAGCAGCAACAGATTGAGCCTAATTTCCCAACCCTCCTATAAGAAACAAGAAGGTACCTTTGGATAGTGAAGACTAAGGGAGGTCCTATTCTCCTCAAGCGAATCATTGACAAACAAGTTGGCCAAGCTGTGACTTTTCCAGTCTTTCTTGTCAGTATCGCTTTTAGATCTTCTGGCTTCCACATCCTGCGGAGGATGCAGTTATTAAAAAGTAACAAGATCATCAAAGAGAGGATAATGAATTTAAAAAAACCCCACCCTGTTTTATGCCATGTCTTCAAAGTCCCTTCCTGAAAGTTCAAAGGCCATTAAGAAAAGAGATAAACATTATAGGAAAAATTCAAGCCTCACATGAACTGTATAGAATGTTTTCGGTAACATTTTCAATGCCAAAATCAAAAGTGTTCACAGCAGAGAAGTTTTTGTGTGCGTGTAATTAATGCAAGGAAAAGCATTTTTGCTTTGTTTGTTGTGTAGGTTTCAGAGTAGCTCAGCACGGTCCATCCAGCTTTTTTACCTGTGCTCATCGGTAATAGGTTCCAGGCATGAAGTTTTATTCACCTTCTTATTTGTCTGAAATGCAGCTCTGATCAGGGTGGGCTCTGAATCCTGTTGCCGTGGCAATTGTTGCTATGTACCAGCTCATGGGTTGGTACGAGTTCTGAAGAACTGGGTTGTCCCAGGGGAGGGACAAAAATGTGACTTGTAATAGCTTGAGTTGATTTCATTTTTCCGTGTCGGATCCCCATCCCTGGCTTCATTGAACTCAGCTACTGGGTTACCAATTACCACCCCTTCAAGTTTTCTAACAACTCAGGTTTGTATTTTAGTGTAAATCTATTGGTAAGAAGATAATAGCCATTTTGGGTCAGACCAAAGGTCCATCTAGCCCAGTGTCCTGTCTTCTGACAGTGGCCAATGCCAGGTGCCCCAGAGGGAATGAACAGAACAGGGAATCATCAAGTGATCCATCCTTTGTCACTTTTCATTCCCAGTTTCTGACAGAGACTAAGGTCACCATCTGTACCCATTCTGGCTAAAAGCCATTGATGGCCCTATCCTTCATGAATGTTTCTAGTTCTATTTTAAATCCTGTTTTCAGGGATGTCCCTAGAGAGATGCAAGGCCCAGAACACCCCAACCTCTGCTTCAGACCCTGCCTCTACCCCACCTCTTTCTGCCCCTGTTGCACCCCTCAAGCGATGCTGGGAACTGGCATAGGGGAGTGGGCTAGGACCAGGTAGCTTCACTTCCTGCCACCACTCATGAGGGCAAGGGTGAGCCTGACCCCTGCTGCCAGTGACGGGCCCCCCACTAGTCCCCTGGGGTCACCCTTCACCCCATGTTTCCACATCCTTCTGAAACTCTGAACCCCCAAAGCGGGGTGGTCGCCCCGAACCATCCTATGGCTCTGCCTGTAATATTCTTGGCATTCCCCACATCCTCTGGCAGAGTTCCACAGGTTGACTGCATTGTGTGAAGAAATACTCCCTTTTGTTTCTTTTAAGCCTGCTGTCTATTAATTTCAACCTTTGCTACTCAGGCAGCCTTCTCTTCATAGCATCTTCTAATACAGAACCCGATTCTGTGGTTTGGGTTAAGGCAATTTCCAACCTCCCTCTAAGGTGAAGGGATTTTCTCGCTTGAACAGACTGTAGGATTTGCCCTGTGCTAGTATTTCAGCGGTGGACAAAGGGGCCTCTGTGGGCTGGATCCGGCCCACCAAGCAGGTTGATCGAGCCCGCAGAGGTCCTGCCACTCCTGTGCCCCCAAGCCAGTCGGGGCCTAGGGACGGGGGAGCAAGTGGCACTTAGAGTCAACCCACATGCCAGTGGGCAGGGAGTGAGAGACTTGATGCTTCCTCCGCCCTCAGGCTAATCAGGGCCTGTGAACAGGAGGAAGCTCGTAAAGTCTCCTCCTGCCCTGCAAGGAGTGCGCAGCGCTTAGAAGTGCCACATGTGCCTTACAGGATGGGGGCTGGGTGGGAGGAGAATTTGTGCGTGTCCCTCACCCCCAAGCCTTGATTGGTCTGGGGGCAGGAGGAACACGAAGTTTTCAACTGCCAGCTGATGCTTAGCTGGCGGGTGACTCTAAGCACGTCACTTCCTTGGAGGTCGGGGGCAGACTTCGCATGCTCCCCCTGCCTCCAGGCCCTGATTGACACACACAGTGGCTACGTCTACACTGGCCCCTTTTCCGGAAGGGGCATGTAAATTTCACCTATCGTAGTAGGGAAATCCGCGGGGGATTTAAATATCCCCCGCGGCATTTAAATAAAAATGTCCGCCGCTTTTTTCCGGCTTTTAAAAAAGCCGGAAAAGAGCGTCTACACTGGCCCCGATCCTCCGGAAAAAGCGCCCTTTTCCGGAGGCTCTTATTCCTTCAAAGTAGGAATAAGAGCTTTTATTTAAATGCCGCGGGGGATATTTAAATCCCCCGCGTCTACACTGGCCCCGATCCTCCGGAAAAAGTGCCCTTTTCCGGAGGCTCTTATTCTTACTTCAAAGTAGGAATAAGGCCCTCCGGAAAAGGGCACTTTTTCCGGAGGATCGGGGCCAGTCTAGACGCTCTTTTCCGGCTTTTTTAAAAGCCGGAAAAAAGCGGCGGGCATTTTTATTTAAATGCCGCGGGGGATATTTAAATCCCCCGCGGATTTCCCTACTACGATAGGTGAAATTTACATGCCCCTTCCGGAAAAGGGGCCAGTTTAGACGAGCCCAGCGTCTCCTCCCACCGCCAGCGGGCACTTCGAGGGAACTGCCAGCTGTTCAGAACTGGAGGTTCTCTCTGACAGTGGAGGGGGAAGGACTTCACACACTTTCTCACCCACAGACCAATCAGGGTCTGTGGGTGGGGCAGCACAGTAGTTTCCTGGCCATGCCCCTTCCACCTAAGGCCTTTCCCCTTCCAAGGTGGCTTGGGGCCACTTCAAAAATTTCTGAAGTGGCCTCTTGTCAAAAATTATTGTCCACCCCTGTAGTAGAGAGGCAGTATATCTCCAAATGATGTACCGGGAGTTCGTGTTTGCCATAGGAGGCTTTAAATGCTAATACAGATAGGAAAGCAGTGAAGATGCCCTAATAAATTAAATGAATGGCTCTTAGTGTTCAGTTCTGCTCAGTCAGCTCCATTAGTTTTATAGCTTTTCTGCTTGTCAGAGAGACAGACGTTCCTTTGCTTGGCTGGGTCCCTTTTATTAAACAGCATGAAAAAGAGCAAAATATGCAAAGTTGGAATGAAGCCAGGCTATTGTACAATGTGGGGCCACTTCTTACCCTCTTTATTCATGGGTGTGGCCCCACTAAGGTCATCTGGAAGCACTTCAGTGAGTGATGGGAGCAGGACTGAAGCCAGATAGAAGGGATATACCTTGGAAAATGCATTACTAGCAGTCTGACATTACCAGTTTGGGTGTCTGTTCATATAGCTCCATTGTTGAGGTGCAAATATTGGAAAGCATTCACATCAGCTAGCTGAGGAAAGGAAAAGGTAACTGTAGCACGTATCTGTGGAGGGAAGGAACTCAAAGAAAACAGCAACAATTTTCTTTGTGTCCCTATAAATCTTAATAGAATATGTGCGGATTGTTCTCTGTTACAACCCCGTCCTGCACCCTCAGCCATCAAGTAAATTAGCTTCGTCATCAAGTAAAGATCTTTCCTTGTCTGTATGCTGCTTAGTGTTCTCTTTAAGCTGTGTTCTTGTGTGGCGATTCAGGAGAAACTCAAAGGATTTTCAGGAGAAACTCAAATGCTGCCTCGCTGATTAGCAGAGCTCCCACAGCTAGGTTTTGTGTTTGTATTAGTGGCACAGATTTGCACATAACTCAGTGCCCATAAAAATTTATTCCGCACATGGATGGAAAAGATTAGAGAGAACAATGGTGCTATTCAAGAATTTATGGGGCGAATGCTTGTCATTTCTCTTCATGTTCTAAAATCTTTCATTTTGCTTGGGTAAAAATCTCTGAAATTTGTTTGACAGCTTTGAAAAACTGATATTCAAGACAAACAGGCCACAAAAACCTTTGCTGGGCACCTTCCTGTTTAATTCCTTCCACCCGTTTTTAATTTTTGTATCTGGTTCTGCTCTCTGATTTAGTCAGCCTTCCAAGGACATTTGGTAAGGATGACTATTGGGAGTTGAAATCCATTTTATACTGTGGATTTGAAATTTTCTGCTGGATCTGTACTCTGGTGTAGTGGGTGGTATTTCAGAGAACTGGAGCAAGGAAGTTATAATGACTTCCATTTGTATAGTTTCTTTCACCCAGAAATGTTCCAACTCATTTTACAGACTATTCAGCAATTGCTCCACCCACTTCCACTGAAATGGGACCTCTGGGGTGAAACTCAGCACGTGTTTAATAGCACTTCACAACATTTAGGAGAGTTTGCAACTTCATTTATTTGCAGCTATAAGGGGAATTAAAGAGAAGCAGAATATAATTCCTTGACTTGGAATTTGGCCTAAATACTCGGACGAAGACTCGTACTGTTGCCTATGACCTCAAAGTGCTAGGTGATTTTATGATATTTAATAATACATGTGGTTATAACTTCAGATTAAAGTTTCACTTGAAAGATGGCACATCCTTCATTAGAGTTCTGCTAAACATCATGCTGGGGCATTGGTTCAATACCACTGACCGCCATTTTCTGCAATTTCTAGAGCTTTCCATGGAGGACCTCCTCCACCTTCAGCAATACGGGTATCATTACAGGCTGAGGGACACTTTCCATCTCCACACAAAACACATGTGTAATACACATGTCTTCACATGGCTAGGAATTAGGGGAAGGGAGCAGAATAATTAATTGTCAATTTACACTGCTATACACTAAGGCTGCGTCTAGACTGGCATGATTTTCCGCAAATGCTTTTAACGGAAAAGTTTTTCCGTTAAAAGCATTTGCGGAAAATCATGCCAGTCTAGACGCAGCCTTAGTGTATAGCAGTGTAAATTGACAATTAATTATTCTGCTCCCTTCCCCTAATTCCTAGCCATGTGAAGACATGTGTATTACACATGTGTTTTGTGTGGAGATGGAAAGTGTCCCTCAGCCTGTAATGATACCCGTATTGCTGAAGGTGGAGGAGGTCCTCCATGGAAAGCTCTAGAAATTGCAGAAAATGGCGGTCAGTGGTATTGAACCAATGCCCCAGCATGATGTTTAGCAGAACTCTAATGAAGGATGTGCCATCTTTCAAGTGAGGGTTTGTCTCTAGACTACATGCTTCTGTCACCAGAGGCATGTAGATTAGGCTACCCAGCATAGGCAAAGAAGCGTGGATTTAAATAATCCCCGCTTAATTAAAATAAACATGGCCCCCACACTGTGCTGACGATCAGCTGATCCAGCACAGTGCGGTAGTCTAGACGTGGATCAATCGGCTGGAGAAGCCTTTGCCGACCGATCCTGTAAGCCGATCCTGTAGGCCTGGCGACAGAGGCATGTAGTCTAGACATACCCTAACTTTTGACCTGTGGTGACCTGAGCTTCATTTTTGTGTCTTGGTAGGGTACTTTTTCTGATCTCCTGCTGGTACAGATAAGAACAAATGCCACTGAAGCTGGTGGAATTACACAGCTGCACTACTGGTATAAGTAGAAAGCACAGCAGCTGTTGCTAATGAAAATGCATTGGGGCATCATTTCCTACTCACAGGCGGATAGAAGTTTTTGCTGGTCAAGGTATAGTAGCAGATCTGTATTTAGCTTCTTTTTTAGAGATGTTATTTCTAGGCTCTTTCCTTTTTACTCTTTAAGTTACAAAAGGTCATGCAAATTGCCAAATGTTCTGTTTTCGTTTGTAAACATATACAGTTCTGTATTTTGCTCAGCATTTTCTTGTAACTGTCAGTTGCTGAATGAACTCTGTAAATGCGAGTATAAGCAAAAGCCAATATGTATCACATGTCACAAACTAGAGAATAGCAATATGTGGAGTGGCTTTTTGGCTATATTTTAGGGGGCATGGGGAAATGCAAATTACAGACTAAAAAATGGGTTAATTATACATGATTACAGGCTGGGTGCAGTGGGAAAATCCCACTTCCTATCCAAGATAACACTTGTAACATTTTTCACCTACGCAAGCCACATATACCCTCAGCGCTGAGCTGGAAATTATCTTTACTGGAGCACAAGTAAAGTCTATATGCACAGGATTGTACACTCCACCCACACCCAGGCTTTTAATTAATGTGTACAGGCAGTCCCCGGGTTACGTACAAGATAGGGACTGTAGGTTTGTTCTTAAGTTGAATCTGTATGTAAATTGGAACTGGCGTCCAGATTCAGCCACTGCTGAAGCGCTGAGCTGGAAATTATCTTTACTGGAGCACAAGTAAAGTCTATATGCACAGGATTGTACACTCCACCCACACCCAGGCTTTTAATTAATGTGTACAGGCAGTCCCCGGGTTACGTACAAGATAGGGACTGTAGGTTTGTTCTTAAGTTGAATCTGTATGTAAATTGGAACTGGCGTCCAGATTCAGCCACTGCTGAAACTGATCAGGTTCAACAGTGGCTGAATCTGGGTGCCAGTTCTGACCTACA